TAATACGGAGCTAGAATTCAACAGGTTAGTTTTTATTTAAATTATCACATTTGAGCACATTAAAAAAAAATCTGATTGATTATGGATGAAGATCAAGATTTTGTTCTAGTGTTTTAATTTAGGTAATATATAATTGATTTAAAGGAAGGTGAAGTTTGTATAGACTATATATATATAAATTATTGACACTGACGAAGGCTATTTGTTAAGCCGAAATATTTGTCTACACGATTTTATAACATCATCTTCGTATATTACCATCTTGTATTAGTACCGTTGTGCAAATCTTTAGACTTAGATATATATATATATATATATATATATATCTTATTATTTTATCATTGTTTTCTATGTGTCACTGTAAAATTTTCATTTATGAATAAACAGATATGGGGTAAAACTTCATAACAACAACACTACGGCAAAAAAAGGATCATAAGTCATCTTTACCTCTATACATTTAAAAAAAAAATATTCCTGTGATCCCTGAACCATAAGCCTATTTGTATTTTAGCTCATACGATCAGCCAAATATCAACATCGGTTTGCTGGGATATCACAAGTGCAAATATAGATATGCAGTCTACTCTCTTAAAATCTACTTCTGAAACGTTAAAAGAAAAATTTTGAAATTAACAGTTCTGCAGTATATAAAGTCATCACGAATTGATTAGACACCATTCATTTTCTTTCGAAAGGTACAAGGGCTGGTGAGTAATCATTTTTCATACTAGGATGAAAATACTTAATTTTTCCGCTGCCTATTGTGCAAATTTTTGTTCTTCCATAAATAGATTATAAAAATTAAATTAATCAAAAAGTAGTTAATGAATAAATAGTGAGCTCGATTTGAGAACTGAAAACAAAATATGATAGACTCACTTACATGGTGTGTTTAACATTAACAATTTTCGTACATCGGGTTCATATTTATAGATGTCTAGAAAAGTTTAACAACAGATTATATCAAAAGGTTAACTGCGGAAAAATGAATCCATTTATCAGTAGAACATAAAAATAAAAAATAAAATATTTTGCATGATTTTGCTGAAGATGTTGTCTCTTGACCATTGAGAAGCTTCTTTCATCAAAGTTAACTAACAAAATCTATTAATGTTTGACAAAGTTTTGATGTCCAAAAATCCTTAACTACAGACTGAACTTAAATGCAAACGCTAGCGACGCTGCACACACGGAAAACGCCGGAATCTAGGATTGCTATGTATCGCCCTATTTAATAGAAACAAAGACAAATTTACTGAATACTTCAATACTGTGATTATCTTGTGTCTGAACAACTTCTATATTTTCTGATATCTTATTTCTAAACGCGGATTTATTTTTAAATAGTTAAATAGACACAGTGAAGTATTCTGGCTAGAATATCTTTTAAAAGATAATGCTTTGAGTCTGCTCTTAATTATTTTGTAAATGACTCGAAATGAAATGAACGATATATATGTTACAGTACAAATTGGAATTCAGTAGGATCCAGAATCTTCCTAGTACAGATTGGAATTCCAATATCTCCTAGTAATATAATCAAACTTGTCTGAATTAAAAAGATAAGAGGTGGGACCAATTTCCTGTGTCTGTATTTCGAGGTAGAACCTTCTTCTGAAAGTCCTTCAATCTTTACTAAAATTGCATACATGTAAGTTTATATGAGGTATTATAGGTTTTAACAACACTTGAGCCAAATATTTCATAAAATCATAGATACATATGTATTATCAAACACTTCAATTCAGGCAAATTGTGAGTAACTATACGGATATTCTGAACCCAAACCAAAATTGTATTGAAAGTACTTTAAATATAGTTCGTCAGATAAAAAATAATTCATTTATGCTAATAATGTCTTTCTATACAAAGTTATACAAAAACATGTTACATTTGCTATAATGTCTCAAAATTAATATATTCAGAAGACAATCTTGTTAATTTACGCTAGTAGATATTGAAATTCCGATGGAACTAGGAGGATTCGGGATCCTACTGAATTTCCAATTTGTACTGTAACATAAAATATGATATTTAGCAAAAATCGTAGTGTTTAAATTGTTTGATATTACCCTAGGGAGGGGTTATTATATGTTTTTCTTTAAAATAGACTTTTATGCGTTTAAATCAGGAGTTAAAATTTAAAAAAATAACCAGACAACTTTCCACGGTTAAACACGTGATAATCCTTATATTACTTCGTCTCTCTGTCAAAAGAAGAAAAAGGAAACAACTGCTAAGTATTGAAATATATCGTCAGATCTTTTCTATACCGTCGGCGGATGTGTGTTCCTAGGGCTTGGTTTTATAAGTATACACCCACAAGCAGAAACATCCGTTAAACTGTATAGATGTATCGTCAAATCTTAAACATTTCCCTTTGTGAATAAAATATTACATCACTATATTTATAAATAAAATGCATGGTTTTGATCTTTCCACTTCTAATAAGCATTTTCAGTTACGATTTGTTTATGTGTTTTTCCTTTTTTTCAACCGGAATTACAATATATATATAATATAAATATATATTTATTTGAAATATACTTCGTCTGAAGTTTAGCTCAACGATGTGAGATCTACAAATAAGCTGATCATAGATACCAGGATTGAAATTTTGTAAGCAAGACGCGCGTTTCGTCTACAAAAGACACACCAGTGACGCTCGAATCTAAAAAGTTAAAAAGACCAAACAATGAACAAGGTTGAAGAGCATTGAGGACCCAAAATTCTTAAAAGTTATGCCAAATACAGCAATTATGAGCAACTTTGCAAAAAAAAAAAAGGCAGGATGACGATTTATGTAAAAAAAGTCAGGATAAACTAATAAAAAAAAGGCAGGACCGAATAGAGTGAAAAATAAAAAGGCAGGACAGAGATTACAACTAAAAAAAAATGCAGGACAAAATTTTTCATCCTAGCCCCCCCCCCCCCCCCCCCCCCCATAAAAATCAAATGGTAGCTCCCTAAGGTAATCTATTCCTGGGGCAGAAGAAAATCCTTAGTTTTGTTACGTTTATATTACATCGATAATAAGGTATGGGGCTTCTAATTGAACAAAATCTTCATACCTATCTTTGCTGCTCCTATCAGCCAACTCACGTTGGCTTTTTGTTTATAATTTGATTTTTTAAGAAATTCTCTTTAACGGAATTATTGTTCTGTTATTTAAAGTTGACTTGAAATTTTAGCCGCCCCAATATTTATCAATTATGGACTTTCACTCAGTCAATACGTTATATATGGATCTGTTCAGATTATATTGACCGAGGACGAAGTCCGAGTGTCAATATAATCTAACAGGTCCATATATAACGTATTGACTGAGTGAAAGTCCTTGATTTATATATTACATATGCAAATAAGGTATTAGAAAAATGGCGTTCAATGTTCTTTCTGCGTATTTTTAAATTGTATTTTGCAAGAATTTTAACATGTTATTGAAAATATCAATATTCTTTGAACAACTTCATAGCTCGTTGCGTTAGCGTTCTTGGATTCTTAGCGTCTGCATTTAACATAAAATTCTTGAAATCTCCTTCTGATAAACTTGCAAATTTACTTTTCGTCTGCTGTGGCGCTTCCTACATGGCTGTTATGTGTGACGTCATGACGTCATAAATCTATTTTTTTTTTAAATTGACCGTCAATATACATATAAATAGAAACATAGCGTCAATATACTTAAAAATAGAAACAAGGCTTTGGATACATAAAATAACCTTTGAAACACGTGATCGTAATATCCAATGAAAACAGGAGAATGCTACACCATATGTCATATTTTAGTTTATTAACTGGTTTGCCAAGTCGTTTAAAGCTATGTTGAATAATTATTATCATGACATCTATTTCTAGTTCCCACTTGTCTGACATTTGGTCTGAGTTTCACCTCCTCCAGGTTTTCAATGAGGTTCGAACTACTCAATCTTTATAAAGAAAATATGGTGAAAATTATGACCTGCTTATGGTTGATGACATGACCGCCATGCATAAACCATGGTAGCTGCATTACTTAGACCAAGAGAAAAAAATGACAAAATGTGTTGATATTATACAAATATGAACCCATTAAAAACTGACTCTCAAACTAAACATTCAAGAAATGAGATTTTGTCTCATTCGACCTTATAGTAATATATAATATATGAAAAAGACGGTCTACAGACGACAAGTTATGGCTACAGATCGCACACGTCAGTTTCGGTTAGATCATATGAGAATTCAAATGGAAAATGAAGGAACCAAATACCAATAGACTAAAAAGATTAGATATGTGCATTAATTTGTTGGTGCCGTATGTTCTTGTACAAAGCAACTATCCGAACTATGCTAAAATGAAAAAAGATTTTTTTTTGCATTTTTAAATCAAAAAATTATTTGAAAACAACATTAAAAACAACTGTGTTGCAATTTAAAATAACAGTTACCGTTCATTTATTTCTTCAATATTTTGCCGGTTTGCATATCTTTTTTTGTTGTTGTTAATTAACAATAAATGTCGACGCTGTTTTCGTTGACAGACTTCCGGCGAAGTCTTTTTGGATGTGGTGTTTTTATCTTGAAGTAGAACTTATCCTTATAAAAACTCAACAAAGCTTACTAAAATCAAATCGAAAATACATATATTATACCACAAGACAAACAATATAGATACTGCTTAACATGACTGTGGAAATTTTTGTTGAAGTCTTACCAATCCCTTTACCATCTATTGATTGTAATTACCTCGGAGGTTGTGCTACAACAGAATAGGGCGTGAATTATCACTGTTTTTTTTTCCTGTATATTTTTTCAGTATACCAACGTTTCAAGCTAAACTCCTCCAAAATCATACAGTTTGGTAAAATGCACATTTGAAAGAATTTCACAAAATAAATATGTGATATGAGAATCTAAACAGGATTAACAATTACTCAGATAATGTATATTTTGTCGATTTTCCACGAAATCTATGTTTAAACAAAGACTCTTCATATAGGCACAACATAATAACAGGTTCATTCAATGTCGGTGTAAAATCAATCTGACATATTTTCTAAACGAATTCAATTTACCAATGAACTGTAAAGTTTATAATTCTCATTTATTGGAAATGTCGGAAGTCAGTAATGTCAGGAATCGATCGTGTCTTGGATAAGCCGTACTGGCAATAATCAATAAGCTAAGGTGTTACATCCCGATCAGAATACACAACGAGCAAACATGTCTTCGCTAAGGAGTAAAATTAAGGTAGGATTAAGCACGACATTATTCTTATATTTCATATACATTGTAATTTTGCCTAACACCGTGTGTCATTTTCATTGTCAAAGGATAAATATTTTATATTTCCGTTCTTTCATTGTGTTGAGTTGCATATTTATTTGCTACAAGGAAATTTTAAATAGCCTTTCCTTATTAAGTATCAATCGATTTGTGTTTAAGACTTATTTTTAGTGAAAACATTACCATGGTAACAAATTATTTCACATTTTATAGAGGATGATACATATTTAAATGCATGGACAAAAATAGTCATAGAATATCGGTATCATATCATAATTAAAGCATTTGGGAATAAAAATGCTAAACTAGTCATAGACTAAGTACAGGATGAGCATAGCAAATTAATCATGAGATATTCGTGTCATTAAAATTATACAATTGAATGACAAAAAAAGAATTGTAATTTGGTGAGATGAAGATGAATGGCCGGAATTCTAACGTGCTAGTTCACAAGGTAACAACAGTCCTAAAGAAGACATGTCACCCTACCCGGACACATTATTCTGACTCTGAGCCGACCAGTCTTTGCTCTTACTCCTTAATGCCACGCGATGCTTATATCAGATGCAGCAAATACCAATTTTAAAGTCATTGGTTTGACAAGGCCGGGGTTCGAGCCCACGACCTCCCCCACTCGATGCGAACTAGCTACCACGAGACCACCGAAGCGGAGGTAACACGAAGAGGGTAAGACATATAAAACCAAAAGACCTTCTTCGTGCCTCTAGAATTAATGGTTACTATTTTTAATAAAGGTTTAAGTATTTAGTATGACGATGAATTTTCACTTTTGTTCTCGTACTAGGAACAACAAAAAAATGTATTTTGTAAAAAATATTTCCGTACTCCATGTATACCTTACAACAAAATTAATTTTATTTACCTGTGTACGTTATTTTATTTGGCGGCATTTTGTCCAAGGTTATGGTTGTCTTTCTGATATTGTTACACATCTAATCCCCTTGTTTATTAATTTTCTATTTACATTGTGTCATAGATCAAATTTATTCGTTCAGTGTATGTTCACTTGTTTTTGTTAATATGTCTTTTGATTGAGTTAAGCCATTTCAATTGATATTTTATAAGTGTTTCTTTCTATGTTGTGATGTTACACTATTGTTTCAGGTAGGGTGAAGGTTGGTGCCTATCAAAACGTTTAAATCCGCTACATTTGTTTGTACCTGTTCTAAGTCCTGGTGTTCAGTGGTTGTCGTTTGTTGATGTGGTTCATAATTATTTCTCGTTTCTCGTTTTTTATATAGATTAAACCGTTGGTTTTCCTGTTTGAATGGTTTTACACTAGTCATTTTGGGGGCCCTTTATAGCTTGCTGTTCGGTGTGAGCTAATGATCCGTGTTGAAGGCCGTACTTTGACCTATAATGGTTTACTTTTACAAATTGTGACTTGGATGGAGAGTTGTCTCATTGGCACTCATACCACATCTTCTTATATCTATGGAATATTACATTAATAAGGATACAACTTTTATTGAAGAAAAAATGCTAAGAATCTACTAAAAAGTATGAAAAATCAAATCTATTTTTACCAAATGTGAAAATACTCAAGCTGCATTAAAAGATGTAAGAAAAAATAAATTGTGTTATATTACGGTGTAATGGAATTACAGTATCTAGTAGTTTCAGATAAAGACTAATTGATTCAATGTTATATAAGAATCGAGGGTTATAATTACTCACATTGATTTTGTTTTCAATGAATCAAAACAAAACTTTATATGTATTGCTTTACAGTTTTGAACCTTCATTGACCTATATCATGTCGATACTTATATTTTGGCGTTATACAAAGTCGTGTTTTTCTCGGGCTCTTTTTTCGGGACGTTTTTGTGCTTATTCCATTGGAAATATACTGATTGATATTTAAGTCTGATAAACATGCTTAATTTGCTAGTTGAAATGAGCTTTCAACTAAAGTTTTAGTAACTACTACTCTCCTAGATCGCTACTTTTTTTTCTTTTGTCTTTTTGATAGTTGTTTTGTGCTTTGTGTCAATCAGACGAGTCACGCACATGAGTATTTTGTTCCAATATAATTTGAAAGAACTAGGGTTAAATGAATTTACTTTCATGAGAACTTTCGAAAGATTTAACTTTAGGTATTTAGAAGATATTGCTTGACAAACAACGAAACTACCATCGCAATAGATAACTCAAGCGCAATTAGCTTGAGTAATGATAATTAAAATGATAATAATGATAATAATAATAATAATAAAAGTATGTGTACGTTAGCTCTGATTATCCTTGCAATCATAGAATATTTTATTCCATAGAAATTCCAAAAAATATGGTGAAATTATCGATTTAATTATTGATATGCATTTGTAATTTCAATTTTAGGAAAAGTATGGGTCCAACTTCATTACGTTATACTTGCATCACACTATTTTGGCTGTATTTTATTATATTGCTTTCCTGATTTCAGTTTTCCTTTGTTTTGCAGCAGACGCTTTAGCGTTACTCTGTCGACGCACCCGGTGTTTCATTTGAAATTCATACAATTCCCTCAGTTTTATTCTTGTTATTACGTTTACTTGTATCTTCTTAATGGATTTATGACATTTGATTATCGGTAAACTACTGTTGCTCTAATTTCTTTGTCTGTTGAAATCTGGGGCACTTGATCCGGGAGCATAAACATGCCGTGCCTTAATTTTGAGAGTTGAAATTCAAAATTCTCTTTTTTCAGGGGAAACAGGTAGAAATACTGATGGAAGAGAATGCTTGTTTCTATGATCTGACCTATTACCTTAATGGTTGCACTAATCAAAATCCAGATGCCGATGAAGATGAACGGCAAATAACACCCACATTGAATATGTTAAACATTAGTTATGACGTCTCTGAGTATATAGGACCTTGGTGGAAAGGTGCTTGTTTTCGGCAAAAGAAACAGAAGCGAGTTCTAAATGATATAAATGTACAGTTCAGAAGTGGGGAGCTCACAGCTATACTTGGAAGTTCAGGTATTTTGATACTGGGTATTATTCAAAACTATTGAGTATTGCAGCTAGTTATGATCTGTAGAAATCCCAAACGAACAAAAAGGTAGTAACACATAACACAAATAACACTGTAAACGTAAACATGCGAAAGAACTCCCATGAATAACAGATAACTCGAAGCGTTTTAGTACCCTGACCCACCATTAGGCAAGGTATGTACTTCGGAAGGTGAGACCAATATGAGGTCCCTTGGTGTCAACTTGACATTGTTACTGGTTTTGTCATCTTCCTGATTTTCATAATTGCCGCAGGATGTTACTTTGTAATCATGTGATGTATTACACATGCGTGGAGGGAGTTGCCTACCCCGTCGATGCATCCGAGTGACTCCTTTTGGAGTTCAACTGCGCAATTCCGATTGTTAAGACCTGGATATGTATGATAATAAATGAGCATACTATTTAAATCGTATTTTATTTAAAACCATACAATTAATGATAAAATGAAAAGAATATAAAATTAAATCAATGATGCCAGAAAACTAAAACACAATACATTTACAAAATATCATACAAACAAATCGGGATGAATTTAAGCATACATTGAAATCCAATTACAAATATTATTACATAACAAAAATTTGCTTTTAATATTATTACAATATCAACAGAGGGAAACATTTTATCTTTACTACAAACAGGTTCAGGAAAAACCTCTCTTTTGGACATAATTGCCTCGAGATCAAATGGACGAGTTGGCGGGAAAGTGTACTACAACAATTATCTGTGTACAGCGGAAGTCATTAAACAATATGCCGCCTACGTTATGCAAGCAGATCGTCTTCTTCATAATCTTACAGTTCGAGAAACTATAAGATATGCAGCACTTCTCAGATTGCCAGGAAAAATGGGCAGCAAAGAAATTGATGAAAAGGTGAATAAATAGTCATATGAAAAGTTTTGATTTTTATGTAAATGTGTACGGTTGTATGAAAAGTATCTAATCAAAAGACAAATGCAATTTTGCCAGATCATTTGATTCTTGAGAATATCATGTATTTTCCCCATATAATTCCAACATTTTGAACACCGTAGAAAAATCCTGTAAACTAAATGTTCAAAACTTATCAAAACCCAATTGAAATTGTTTAATTGACAGATTTAAAAACCCGTTCTCTTTAGTCTATTATCACATTAACAATTTAACATCATATGAAACACTTTTTAAAAAACCATTGTTGGAGGTGTTTTTATAAATATTAATTTCTTCAAATTTAAGGTTGACAAGGCTATTGCAGAAATGGGATTAAAACATGTAGCAGACTCGAGAGTTGGTGGCTCTGTAGTCCGAGGAATCTCCGGTGGCGAAAGACGACGAGTAACTATAGCAATTCAACTTCTTCAAGACCCTAGTGAGTAATTTTGCACAAATATTCACAAACGAAGTAAAACATTAAAGAGCCCTGGATAGACTGAGGGTGTTTGTTGTGATAGAAAATAAACTTCTGCTTAATTATATACCAGTATGCTTGTTTTACTCACGTGCATTCAAAATTTTATAAATCAGATTGTGTTCCAAGAAAATCTCTTTCAAGTGGTTTCCAATACAAAAAGATAGTCTTTATTTCAGACTAAAAGGTCCATATATATATATTCTGTCTAAACAGGATACAATGTTAAAATATTTACAGTATTAATTACAGTTAAAACTTTTAAAATATAGCTCATTGTACAATAACAATAACAATTTTGAAGAATACAATAGATCAATTCTGAGAATTGTATTAACCAAATGATTGTAAGATATTTTCAAGCGATTTAACAAACTAAACATTGACTTTCGCATAACTTACTTGAAGGACATAACTTTATTTACGACAAACATATTACTTGAACTACATCTATATTGATATCCTTGTGTTATTCTGAAAGCATTATTACACATTACTCGAATTTTATTTTAAAATGCAGACTTATATTTAGACCATAAAGATACTCAATAGACATTCATACAGTAAGACTGAAAAAAGTTGAATCTTACCACCCGTATACAGGACATTTGTTAAATTTTCACTTCAGTATATTAATTTTCTTGCATATTCTCAGATATTGTCTCTTCATACATTTTTATTAAAATTCTGTATCAATGTACTAGGATGTAATCGCGACTATTTTTGTCAAATATTGTTAAGTGTAAATATATCATTCAATCATCGCTAAATACTTTTTGCAGTATCCGATGAAATGGGTCAGCTTTATTTTCTTATTTCTTATGTACACATAGTTTAATGGGTCAAAATTAAGTTAATCTAGATTATTCCTTTCGCTGAATCTTTGAATCTCATCGCGACATTCTAGTAGCAACACCATACTAATTCTCGAGAACTTAACATGCTTTACTTACTTAATCGTGGTACGAAGCAAAATTCTGATGCAAATTTTCATATAAGATATGAAAGCAGATTTTTAAAAATCCACTTTTGATGGGTGAATAACTACCATACAGTAAAATACATTTTGTGAAAACGCTAACGCGTGTATATTAAGGATGTAATACAAAATTTTCTTCTTCAGAAATCCTTCTCTTAGACGAGCCAACTACAGGACTGGACAGTTGTACAACCCGCCATCTTGTGTCAAGTTTATCAGACATTGCTCACAATGGTAAAATAGTGATTTTGACAATTCACCAGCCTCGTTCTGATGTCTTTAAAATGTTTGATAAGATAGGGCTCCTGAGTATGGGAGAGATGGTATACTTCGGAAAATCGGGACAAATGGTGGAATATTTCCAAGACCTCGGCTACCCTTGCCCTACGTATGCTAGTCCATTTGATCACTACGGTAATGTTTATGTATATTTAGATAGAATACATTCCTTATTTAATATGTGGAAAATGGTTGAAGTTTTAAATTTATTGCAGTATATATATATGGCCTTATCATATAACGTTGTAGAACCATTTATGGTCGAAACATAAGATATTACACGAAAATAAACAAAAGGAACTCACCATGAAATGTTATCTGTTTATATATATATATATATATATATATATATCAAGTGAAAATGACATTAATCAAAGCATTAACTACAGAATGAGTTTTTAGAAACAGTGAAAACTGAAGAAAATAAAATCGAATGTCAGTCTGATTAAAATCAGCCTAAACTATCCACTTGCTACAAACGCAAGTGGATAGTGGGGGCTGGTTTTAATCTACATGTGATAAAGTAAATAGCATACTACACTGCATATCAAATCTCAGCAAATACCTCTTTAAATGAACTGTGAAATCCTACTGATCCCTTCATAAAATGTTTTCTTCCATCCGAACTTGTCCTCTAACTTATTGTCAGTAACAGAAACCTATATTTTATATTCTTTTTGTAGTCGATCTTGCCAGCATTGACAGGAGGAATCATGAACGTGAACTTGAAACTATGTCTAAAGTTCAGAAGCTAGTTCAAGCTTTCTCCAATTCTTCAATCAATGATGAAAATATTCACAGCATTGAAGAAGAAACCATGAGACATTCGACAAGGAGGACTATGTTGTTTTTCTTTAAACCTCAGCCTCCGAGTTTGATGCGGGTACTTTATTGTTTGATTGGGTATGTTGAAGTTTTGCATTATTTGGTATAGATTAATAAAATAGAACAATTCAAAGATTTAAAATTACAACCCTAACAATAATTAGAACATCATGATATCACCAAAATGAATATCTATATGTTCATTTTGTTGGGTGACGTTTCCTGACAATACTTGTGTTTTGTCTTTTAAAATCTAAATTTCATGAAGTTTGATTTTTAGTTGGGTTTATCTTGTTATGGATTGTTGGTTCACTATACATCGTACGTTCAGTTTTCGGGGGTTTAGAACTGATATTATTTAAAATATAAATATTGACTAAAAATATCAGCCCATTAAAATGAGACAGCAACCCCGATGATGACACAAATAACCAGAAGACATCTTGAAGGCAACATACAGTTTTCAACAAAAGACAGGTTTCAATACAATACGGCAAGCTCTAAATGAAGCACAGAAACAATCCAAGATATGGAATTAACACGAAATTCTCTAAATAACGAAAAAAAAAATTAAGATATTACATACGACAACCACTGACGAGGCTACTGAGATAAGACATTTGATTTGCTATAGTAGATACTTTGGGGAAATCACTGCTGGTTTCACCCTACCCCAGTAGTCAATGCCTCAAGCTTTTTATAGAAATTTTAAGTTTCACATTACTCAAGGAATGTTCTGATTGATTGATTTATCGTTGACTGTTGCTTGCTTAACGTCCAGCAATATTCTGAGCTCAACTTAGCGGCCGTGGCTTCACTTAAGCTATCTTTTTATTATATTTTGGTTTTGGCTACTCTATATATGTTCCTTTTTTATACCTCACTATGTATTTATTCATCTTTGCCTCTCCGATTTGTTTTTCTTTGAGCTTTTCTCGTTAAGGTTTTTCCATATTAGCGCTTTCTAATGCAGCTTCTATAAATTTCCTTTTGATGAAGGACGTTTGTTATTTTCTGTTTTTATATGTTAACAAGAGTTTAAATGCTTGAGGTAGTTTTGCGAAGTCAGCGTAAGATTCATGGATTTTTTTTCACTCTTAGAATGAATATGTCTTCTATTCTGTTTGTTACAATTAAAGCTGTTCTTTTCAACTGGAATGTCTCAATATATTACTAATTGTAAATCTAGAAAATTTTGATTTATGAATGATTTACCCAATTCATTTATTTACAGTCGAATGCTTGTGAATCTGAAAAGGGACAGAACTATATACATGTCCCGTTTGGTAATGTTATCATTGTTTGTGCCGTTTGTATGTGCTTTTCTGGGACATATTAAGACAGATCAGAAATCTATCCAGGACAGAATTGGACTTATGTACCAGTCAGTTGGTGTACCAACATATGTTGGGATTCTAATTGCTGTCGGCGTGTGTAAGTTTATACCATAGAATGTTGTACAAACTTTGGGCGATGCTAAAAGTAGATCCAATGAATTTATGTTTATGTTATATTTTTATACCAAGTAACGTTTTGTGACATTGTTATTGTCATTGCTGTATGTGTACTAAGGAGTCTCATAGACCTATTTGCTGGGAACAAATAGGATAAAAAGTGGGGAGCCATTCCATCAAAAATAATGTGATCTCTGAAAGAAACCAAAAAAAAAACAAACAAAAAAACAGAAAAGCAATTTAAAGAAAACGTTAAATTCTGTTGAATTCAAGTTTAGAAAGTCTATACGCGTTGCATTTACCAATAGCTGGACAAAAACTTTAAAATGCCTTTTTCTGTAAGAAAATGAGACTTGTCATATTCAATAATAGTCGTGTCGTCATCGTACAGAAACGCACGAGCCGGACAGAGTTAATATGGGAATGCTGGAGAAACCGTACCTAGTAGAATTTTAATATTTAAGAGTCCTATTAATGTACTCGGATTTTTTTTTTTAAAAAGTTAGATATTTGTTCAACAAAATGTTGAATGAGCCATATGCACATTGATGTTGCAGACAAATTGGATGAAGGCTTTCAAATTTGCAGGTTTTAGCTATATACAGTCATACCTAATTAAAATATTCATTATATTACATAATGTTGTTACAACATCAAGAAACACACTAAGCTGTGATACTGTTATTCTTTTTTAAAAGATAAGATAAAGGACTCTCTAAAACCTGTCAGACCAATCTGAGATGTTAATAAAAGAAGAATAAATCTCGTCTTATATAGTCCTGTAAACCCCCTGTCACTACATAACTACCGGTAATAATATACTTTTGTACAATATTTGCTTTGATTGGCAATTACATGAACCTTAGCGTAGTTTGTGTCTATTGAAATAATGTATTTATTTTTACAGTTCCACCATTAAGAGACCTGTATTTCAGAGAATGTCGGGATGGTCTGTATTCGACTACGTCTTTCCTACTGTCATATGCTATACATATCATCCCATTCCAAGCAATATCAGCCATGATATTCAGCATTATAGTTTATTGGTAAGCATATGTGATGTTGTGTGCTTCATTATTGATAGGTTAGAGATGGAATCTTGTCGATCAATTGCATTGTCTTTTATAAACTGTTGTGAATAAAACAAATCATATATTCCAGGATTAAAATTGTATCCGCCAGACGCGCGTTTGGTCTACAAAAGACTCATCAGTGACGCTCGAATAAAAAAAGGTTAAACAGGTCAAATAGTACGAAGAAAAAGAGCATTGAGGACCCAAAATTTCGAAAGGTTTTGCAAAATAAAGCTAAGTAATTTATTCCTGGGATAAAAATTCGTAAGGGTTCCACGGAAACCAGTGTCTCGCCTACTTTCGCTGTTAATCGCAGGCTCAACAAAAATGAGGAAAAAAATTAATAAAAATAGTCCTCTCTATACTATCTTTTGATTGTAAGTAGCTTCTGTCCAAGTTTGGTAAAAATCCAGGATAGTTTATGAATCTAATAAATGTTTATAAAAACTTAAACTGCAGACTGTATGTAATGTTAACTGGAAGAAAAACTTAGTCCATTTATAAGTAAAATACGGAAAAAATGGAACAAATTTTAACAAAATTTCCTTCTAGATACTAGATTTTAATCATAAACAAGCTTCTGTCCAAGTTTGGTACAAATCCAGGATAGTTTAAGAAAGTTGTTAAAATTTTAAAAACTTTAACCACAGAGTGCATGTAATGTTAACTGGCAGAAAAACTAAGTCCATTTATAAGTAAAATACGGAAAAAATGGAATTTTTTTTTACAAAATTTACTTCTGGATACTATCTTATGATCATAAACAAGATTCTTTCCAAGTTTGGTAGAAATCCAGGATAGTTTAAGAAAGTTATTAAAATTTCAAAAACTTTAACCACAGAGTGAATATTTGTGGACGCCGCCGCCGCCGACGACGACGACGACGACGCCGATGGAATGTAGGATCGCTATGTCTCGCTTTTTCGACAAAAGTCGAAGGCTCGACAAAAAATCCTTAGTATTTCGAAAAAAACATCAAAGTTTTGTAAACAGTTAATTTATAATTATAACCATATCAATGATTATTCATGTCAACACTGAAGTGCTGACTACTGGGCTGGTGAGTTTTGTTGGTTTGTGCAAGTAACACGCAGGATACATCATTAAAGCACAATTAATTCAACAAAATATGTTACATCAACACCAAGTTCTAAATCAAAACATACATTTAGGTTTTTGTTATCGAGAATTTACGAATTCAAAATTTTACAATGTCGTTTTTCCGTGCAGGGTGACGGGACTACATCCTTCGTGGAGCAGATTTGCTATATACTATGCCACTATATTTGTTCTGCATTTTATTGGAGAGATTATGACAGTAGGTGTCATGGGAGTATTCTTCAATCCACAGATCGCCAACAGTACATCAGCTTTAATTCTGTCAGCTTCAGTACTCATAGCAACAGGATTTCTTAGGCATGTATAAAAACAAATCGTTATTTGAAATAAACCAAGACATAACTCCACATAACCGTTGGTTTTTGTTTTCGTTTTCGCGTACTCATTGTCTTATCCTATATTAAACGTACTTTAACTTTTTTTTCAGTCTTCGTAATTCAATGTACATTTTGAATCATAAAATAGGTGCGTGTCATCTATTACGAGATTTTGGTTCTTACCTTACGTGTAATAATGACGCCTCAATGAAAAATGCTTTCTCGTAGATAAAAAAAAACTGCTGTTTTATTTCAAACGGAGAACACGTCAACATTAGTGCGTTTTACTTCGATTCATTTCATTGTTTTCTTCAAATAGGCATGGCGTGGCCTTAAGGAAAAGTAAATCAAGAAGCAGGAAAATGTAAAATATTTATCTACTTTTACTTTCGACGAAATTTGCCGTTGACTTACGAACGAGGACACTCGCCTATTTTCCAGATTAGCACACATTTATTTTTGTTTGGTTTCAATTGTTACATAAACAATTGTTTCTTGTTCGTAGATCGTTTCCAAGTATGCTGGACATATTTCAGTGGGGCAGTTGGCTAAGCGTTATGAAATACAGTGCCGAGATTCTCGTAGCGAATGAATTTAGTGGACTTAATTTCACTTGTCCGCCGATGCCAAGTAAGACATTTATTTTTCGTTCTATAATATTCTGCACTTTGAAATATTTCTTTTATGATTTACAATTTTAGCTGAAAGGAGAAAAGGGACTGTTTTCGGAATATCACAAATCGCAAGTTATTATTTCCTGACAAGAGTTAACTTTTACTAAAATTTAACATTGCATAGAGAGTCCAAGAGTTTTGTGAATTTTTAAAGCAAACACACAGTCACTATAGATATTGAAACTATATATGTAGTATATATATTAGAAATGCAGGAAGATGGAAAAAAGCAAAGCGCACGAATGCACTTATTACGCCAGGATAGAGATTGGAATAGCCAATTTAGTAAATTTTAACAAAGCTTTGTTGTATTTTGCAGATATACCATGTCAGTATCCAACCGGAGAGAAATATTTGGCCGATTATTATCCGGATGCTGTAGAGCACATGAGAAGAAACTTTTGGGCATTGGGTGGTTTCATGGTGTCGTTTCTCTTTTTCACAATAGTTGCCTTTAAAATAAGAGGCATACCTAATATGCATTAAAACTATTCTCCCAAATCGGGCAGATTCAAAATGGGCAGGGTGGGTGTGCATGAACCAATAACATCAAAAGTGACAATTTGATTAAAGTCGCACAAAGCACTACACGGAGTGGTAATTTCTGGTGACACCCCCACTACACCCATATATCTGAATCTGCTCTTGGAAGTCTTTCATGAAATCAAGGCGGATAAAGTGGTACAAAAGCGGTATGAATGAACCGAAATTGGAAAAATATTCTTATATAAAGTAAAAGTTCAATACAAAATGTATAAAGACATTAACAATGGTGCAGATTACTTTGAACAGTTTAGGTGACTTGCCATTATTAACCACATTTGTCAGATCCGCGATTATAAGTCTTTCAAACAAACAACGATGGCTAGTTTACTAAAGAACATTCATTTAGTTTATAGATTTTTTTTTTTAACATGCTGTAAAGCAAAAACTTTTAAAAATCTCGTAACATTGTTTATAAAATTAGGCTGCTTGCAACAGTTGATACTCTTTATCAATAAATCCTCAATGTTTACAATTCTAATATGATGAGTGTATTAAGAAATGACCCCGAGTCATCACTGTATGTGACCAGTAACTATTTTCAGAGAAAATCCAGTACATGTGATGAAAATAATAACTTATTTTCTCTAACTCTTCGTCAATTTATCCCTTTCTGCACCCATTGTATAAAAAAAATTTAATCAACGTGTGGTTCATTTGATCTGTTATTCATTGGTTAAAATCCGATTATGACGTCGAATTTTCTTGCTTTCCTCTGAATTTCCTATTGTGACGGCATGAAAAAAGGCGACCATGCCTGATGACGTCACATAAAAAGAACACATCTTTTTGCAGATCATTCGAAAAGACGGAATAAATTTGCCTGCGTATTGTTTGAAAATCATTAGAGAAACAGATTCCACCACCAAATCTCGTGTAATACGATATTTATCCACTCTCGACAGTTAAATTTTAAATATTTAAAACGCTCGGCGAGCCTCGCGTTTTAAATTTGAAAATTTAACTGTCTCGAGTGGATAAATATGCGTATTATGGTATACAAATGTCCGGCGTCCGTCCGTCTGTCCGTCCGTCTGTCTGTCCGTCCGTCTGTCTGTCCGGCGTAAACATGTCGCACCGTAACTTGAGAATGACTTATCCAAATTTCATGAAACTTAACATAGTTGTTTCTTATGATGGTCAAACGATCTGTATACTTTTTGGTGAAAATAAGATTAAAACTTTTTGAGTTACGGGACTTAGTAACTAAAACAGGTGTGTGTTTTTTTTCACATGTCGCGCCGTATCTCAAAAACAATTTATGATTATTGCTTAAAACTTTACACACTTCTTAGTTATATTAATCTTAAGATCTGTATACTTTTTGGTGATGATTCAAAATTTTATTTTAGAGATATTGAGTATTTTGTTAAAAAAGGGGGAGGGGTTTTTCACATGTCGCGCCATATCTCAAAAACAGTTTATGATTATTGCTAAAAACTTTACACACTTCTTAGTTATATTAACCTTAAGATCTGTATACTTTTTGGTGATGATTCAAAATTTTATTTTTGAGTTATTAAGTATTTTGTAAAAAAAGGGGGAGGGGTTTTCACATGTCGCACCGTATCTCAAAAACGATTTATGATTATTGCTTAAAATTTTACACACTTCTTAGTTATATTCATCTAAAGATCTGTATACTTTTTGGTTTTGATTCAAAATTTTATTTTAGAGATATTGAGTTTTTTGTAAAAAAAAAGGGGGATTTTGGCATGTCACGCCGTATGTCAGAAACTATTTATGCTTATTGCATAAAAATTCACACACAAGACGACGGGCGTTTTTCATCAAAGGACTTCTCTAACTAAAATTATTTATTTTTTATACGAAAAACAATTTGTAACTTTACTTCCAACAGAATGTTTTTTTGTTGGTTAAAATACCTCTTTTGCTCTTTTACAATGACCGACCACAACTGCGATTTTCAGCTTTCATAAGCCATATAGTATTTTTCCAACCTCAACATATATACATAGAGCTTTGATAGTCATACTGCGAATCTTAGTTGATTGAAAAACTTTTTGAAAAGGGCCCTGGTGTGAAATTTATTCAGGGTATTGGCCATACATATCTAAATTCGGGCATTGGAATCTCTTAGATTTCTCCTATTATCTGGTATAAGTAAAAAAATCGATACTCAAATTACATCTATAACTTGAATGAATTACGAGATGATTGTTTTATTAATTGATTTATTGTTTTTTTTTTTGTTATGTTATATGAGAAACTGTATTTAATAAAATAAAAATGTTGATATCGTTAATGGATTGTTAATATGAAATTAGTGAAAACATTATGCAAATTATTGATGATTATTCTAGAAAGTTAGCATAAAGCTAGGCCAAGTCAAAGTCACAGCTTTTTCAAAGTAGTTACACAAAAGAATTATGAAACCGTACGATGGGTGATACTTAATCAATGAGCAGATATTCCTGACGATACTTATGGTCTCCTTTTTCACGGAGTTCGGTGATGTCTTTTCATCTGTATTTTGGGATTTCTTGACAGCATATTTCGTTCGTGTTCACATCTTGTTTTATCATTCTATTTTGGTATAAATCCGTTACACAACATTCGATGTGGAATATGTAATTTTTCGCTGTTCTTTAGTAATTCCAGCTGTTTCTTACTTTGTAAAATGCAAGCATGGTACTTTCATCGTTATAATATATTATTAATCATAATATTACCATGCTTCAGGCTGGTAAATTCATATAGTAGTTCCCATATATACTTTGTTTTCTATCGTGTGTCATGGCTAACCACATTTTACTTATCTCTCGATCCTTTGCAGGAAAAACAAGATATTTACAGTTCTTACCATATCGTATATAGCAAGTATAAGCTTCTTTTGGCATAAATGTTAAATTAGGTCTTATACCTTCGTGAATAACACCGGGTATTCTAGATGGTAAAAGTCCAAAAAGAAAAAAATCGTCTACCCAGAAAAATGGCGATCCAATAGCTGCACGATATAACATGGGTATGAGATCTATAGATATGAATACTGTAAAACCACTACAATATGTGTGGGGATATAATTTCATGTCTTTAAACTCGTATTCATCAACGTACCATTTACTGGTATTTTTTCGTATGATTGCCATTGATCCTTTAGGGATTTTGTTACAATACATAGTCTTTTTCTTGTGTTTCAGATCTGACATATCTTCGAACAATTTAAAGAAATTAATAAAAGCATCATCGTCTATTTTAGCAACTAATTCAGCATTCATACAATGTTCTGATATCCATTTGTATCCGGTAACTCCTTTATGTGTCAAATTTCGATAGGAATCTATAAAGTTTCCTTGTACTATATCTTTATATATTTTACTTTCTTGTTCAAGTTTTAACTGTGTTATCAAATCAGGGACTAGACCGAGCAGAAACACAACCCTGACATTTTCGGGACTATAATATGTAGAATTAAGCCATGTATTCCTCATTCTGACTCGGCGTAGGAAATGACTCGGAGCTGTGTGGACGATAACTATCACAGACACCTTTTCTACTCCTCTGCATATGTCCTTGTTGTTTATTTTATAACCCTGTGACACAATAGGGTAAAATGTTTTTGATCTTATTGCTCGAGTATTCGGAGTACTGTGACTCTGTGGCGTTGGCTCTTCCATCCATAGCATCAAGCGATTATTTACGTGGGCGCCATTTGAGAATATCGGGTTGCTTAATGGCGACATTAAATCGTTAATTATTGCTACACAGAAACATGAAAGTGCCACGAATACAACTAATAGCAAAAATTTTATATGTTGTGTTTCTTTCTTCATTCTGTTAGTGAGTATCTTGATCAGATATGATGATTTCTACTGAAAGAAAAAGAACAGTTAAAGTAGATAGACTTCTGAAATGGCAAGGGGTCAAAATAGTTTACCTCTACAAATATTGATGGAAACATTTTAGATGGAAACCCACTTTGATTTGAAAAATAGATAACAATATAAAATGAGAGAAAAATCAAGATTATTTAAAGAAGCTGAGGAATTGTAAAATTAGGTAAAACGGACTCCCAAATGTCGACAACATTCTCAAAAAAAGTATAACAAACTGAAATACTGAACTCCAATTAAAGGCAAATCCATAAAAAAATGACAAAATCAAAAGCCATCAATTAACGGAACCAGTGAAAAACAACTGCCATAATCCTGACTTGGTACAGGAATTTTTCAAAGAAAATGGTGAGTTAAACCTGGTTTTATTTTATAGCTCGACAGTTTCTTGTAAGGCACTTCCTAAACGTAAATATCATCTGGCAAACGGGAGGTAATACAATTGGAATTGTTTGCATGATGCGAATATGTCAACCGGTGCGAAACGAGATTTTTAAAATGTATATTGTGGTGTTTGAATGTATACATATATTTTTGTTTAAATCTCGTCTAGGGCTTACAAAATAGAGAAAAATGTATGAAAAACAAGTTGCTTTCTTTAAAAAAAGAAATGCAATCGTAAACCCAAATGCTTGTTTGGCATTAAATATTAGATAATTCTTTAATAAAGATGTATTGTTATATATTATTTTTGTTCTTACAGTATAAGAATTAGAAACTGACATTGATCGTTTACTTAAAGTAACTACTGTTCAATGTGGGGTGAAATATTCTTTTTAAAGGAATATTTTTTTCTCTCTCCTCTCTCCCGAAAGACAACATGTTAAGTCACCCACTGGATGTTCCATTCTAAGTTGCTGGTTTTTTTTTTTTTGATAAGAGTTAGTTTTTTGGCTGAAGTTCAAATGCAAATGTGAAGAAATTTAATCAATTAATGATTATTTGTGTTTAAGAAATGCAGTACGTGAACCTGTAAAATAGCTGTTTTTATTGGAATTTGAGATATGTTCATGGTTATTTGAACAATGGCTTGATATTGATCATTATTAAGATCCTAACACTTGCTCTGCAAGGTTTTTGTGATGCTTAGGGTAGTAAGCATTAGCAGTTTTAAGTTGTGCGCTTAAAATTTGTGCTCTTAAAAGTTTTAGATGACAAACCTCTTTTGTTAAAAACAAACACTTTTTAAAACCTTTAACTCGCTTTGAAGGTATTTTCCGAATGTCCCTTTTTATTTTGATGTTTTCTTATATTTTAAATTGTGGTTCACGAAAAAAGGCATGCAAGTTTAATTGTAAAATTATACAATTTGAATTGCACTGTATCCTCTGCACCTTGATGAGTGAAACCAATTCATTAAGAAAGCTATTTATAGCCTAGACAAAACAGCTTACACCTTGTACTTATAAATAAACAAACAAAATTGAAAACAACAAAAAAACTAACATGGTCAAACCTGAAATTACCACTGAATACCCATCACCTAAATATTAGTTTGTTTAAAGGCCACATTTATGAACTGTTGTAAGGTGTTCCTTTTTTTTTTTATCTGAACACGATTTTTTCATTAACTTTTAAAGTGTGTTTTTTACATGGTAAAGTTACACTTCCGTCTTATGGTATGTATGTAAATTCTTTTAAACCAGGTGTATTCATAAGCACACGCCCCAAGTCAGAATCATGTTGTTTAGTGGTTGTGTTTTTTTTGTTTTTTGGTGCAGTTCATATTTGCTTTTTGTTTCTGGTTTGAAGTTAAATTAGATTTGTTTTTTCCTGTCTAAATTGTTTTATAACAGTGTTTTGGGGCCCTTAGTAGGATGCTGTCCAAATTGAGCCAAGTCTTTGTGTTGAAGGCTGTATTATAACCTATAATTGCTAACTTTGACTACACTGTGTCTTGATGGAGAGTTGTCTCATTGGTATTCCTATCACATTTAAAAAGATATTCCCTCTGACATTTGACAAATCCATTAGAACAATCTAAATATTGAAATTGAACTGGTTGCCTTCCATGTTTCTTATATTGACCTATCCTTTTTCTCTCTTGCTGGATAGTTTTATACTGGTCATTTGGAGGCACTGTGTAGCCTACTGATCAGTGAGATGGCTCAAAATCTCCTTACACTATTTTATATTTTCGTACTTAATATATAAAAACCGAAAATTCATCATCTGATCGTCTTCAAGAAATAATAATTATTTATTTTTATTTTGATGAACATTTTGAAGAGCCTTAATTAATTACTATAGGAACATAAATTATAAATAGAAATTATTTTTTCTTATCTCTGCCTGCATCTGTCATCACTCGGTGTCTATTAATAGACATTTGATATCTTTTCGCTGACCCTGTTAAGTCTGCTAAAATTACATGCATGATTAATTTTAAGGATTAAAGCGGCACATTTAATTCGTTATTTCATTGCTTGAAGTATTATTTCTTACATCTGCATGGTCAAATGTATTTTTTTTAATATATTTTAAATTCAAATTTCAGTTTTAGTTTTTTTTTCTTCATATTAAATATCTACTTATTCACATTTTAATAATGAAAAGGATCCAGATGTACCTATAACAATCTGATTATTTTAATCAAGGAGGTTATATGACTTCCTTGTTTTAATAAAAAGGAAATAATGTTGCAATATTTAAACAAAGAAAATAACTGTATTTCAATTTGCAATTTTAATGAAAATAAAACGGAAATGTACTTTCATAATTAATTTTAACGTTATTTTCAATATTAAAACGATATTTTTTTTTGTTGAAAAATCCTCGTTTTTACATCTATTCAAGGACGTATATTAGATTATATACGTACCTGGTAGATATCCTAGACGTAAAATTTTAATAAAGTGCAAGATAGACTTCCTTTTAATTTCAGTATGAAAAAAAATGAAATAGCCTGCTTTGTACATCATGTACATCTTCCCTAGACTCAGAATCTTAAATGAAATGCTAGTAATACTTCTTTTATAGATTTTAGTTTTAACATATCTCGTTTCGAATATAAATTGCATTGTTTACATGAAATTTTATCTCATATCTAAACACAGCTGGTTTCAACGTTTGACTCTAATTAAAATAACTACGCATATATATGTAAGGTAAATATTAGCGGCAGCTTGTAAATGCGTGCAAGGAAATATTCAAATGCTTATTAAAGTAGCTTGCGTCATAATAAATTTCGCATCATATGTAACATATCTCTATAGCAACTTTAAGATGCTAATGCTTATTCAACAGGTCAAATAATAAGCTATTGCGCATGTATATGAAAGGTGGCCATAGAAAGAACAGATGTATTCCGAATAACATCCGGTGTTCCGAAAGACTACGGACATCGTCCAATGATATACTGCGTAAAAAGGAAAAGAGGAAAATTAACCAAAAAATAAAGAATCGAGGAAAATGAACAAAAAAATAAAGAAAAGAGGAAAATGAACACAAAAATAAAGAATAGAGGGAAAATGGGTTAGAAAAATGAAAAAAATAGAGAATAATAAGATTCTTAAATATAAATGAGAGAATAATGGGCAAAATCAATAAATAAAACAAACAGTGACCTCAAAATTAAAGATTACAGAAATGAAGACCCCTCCTCTCCCCTTACAACATCTCCACCCAGACGTCTGATACTTACGTTACAGGTAAGGATAATTATTAATAAGTCGCTTCTTCGGACGTATGGTTTGTGTTCCTTTAACATGGAGATACCCAGGAAACAGGAAGAAAGAACACTTAAGACATTCATACAAACATTCTATTGTTCCTTGTGTTATTTTTGTTTTGACATTTAATTGTTACCAAGGTACAGTAATATGTTGCACATATTATTAAAGATTCATAACTTTATAAATCATTTTAGATAATAAAAACATTTCCTGACGGCTATTTGGTTAGAAAACTATCAATTTCCTTATTGACTTCTATTTTCTGGGAATCGAGATACTAGTAAGTAGCAAGTCATAAATACAGATAAAGAAAATTCATTCAATTCACTTTTCTTATTTTCATAGATGCATGTATGAGGGTCTGGGTGGGGTTTCAGAATAGAGAATTATAGACAAAACGTGCAGAATAAGGGCAAAAAATATAAAGAATAGAGAAAAACAGGCCAAAAAATAAAGAATAGAGAATAATGGGGTGCTAAAAGATAAAGAATAGAAAATAACAGGCAAATTTATAAAGAATAGAGAAAAATGGCTTAAAAAATTAAATAATACAGAATTGAAGGACCCCCCCCCCCCTAATCCAGACCCTCATGTATTTTGTTGAATAAACTGAATCAACATACTTACCAAGTAATACTATAATTGAAAAATCTTCCAAAGAGCTGAATATCTATTCAACTTATTGCTTTCTTGCTTACATATCCTGGAAATAATTAAACAAAATAAGCATTGAATAGACGTAATGAAAGTTTTTCATTGTCACCAAAAGAGTTTATATAAATAAGACTGTCATTCATAATATAAAGGAAAACATGAAAATAGTACTGGTCATTCATAAGGACCAGTAACACAACAGTCCCCGACGTTGTACGTGTATTTTACTTTTTTTCTTCACAAACAATAGACGCATAATTATGGCCCGATCATTACAGGACTAGATCTATATTGACAGGTCACCCAAAAAGGGTTAAGAAAACACGTTTGGGATATAATAGCCCTAATGGGATATAAATTTACTCTGCAAAACCTTAATTTTTTAGCGAAAATATTGAAAAGTACATTTGTTTAAATATTTACAAGAATCTTTGCCATGATAGAATGATGCCTCGGAAAACCGCTAATTTCTTAGGGTTCAGTCTCATTAACAATCAGGTATAAAAGTTGCTAACCTTAAATGTAATCAAATCGAATTAGTAATACATCCTCTAAAATCCAATTTAGAATTATTCAATTTTTGCACAGTAAGATCATATCGGATTTACCTGATAGACTAAGCAGTCCGAATACTTCATATGTGCACAAGCAGAACTGTTAAACATACAATATACTACTCTAAAGGGAAACATGAGAGCACTGTGGTACAAATAAAGTACTAGTAAACAGAACGTGCGAGAATATTATTTAAGTGTACATTTATGAGGGTCTTGATGGGGGTCCTTCATTTCTGTATTCTTTAATTTTTATGCCGTTTTTCTCTTTTTTTCTATTTTTTGGTCCATTTTTCTCAATTTTTTTACATTTTTGTCCATTATTCTCTATTCTGTAAACCGCCATCCACACCCTCATTTATGCACAATGAAGATTTATTACAGTATTGTAAATGTGATATGCTGCATAGTTATTCAAGGACACTCAAGGTTAAAATGGTCGTGTTATGCGCACATTATATATTTAATTGTACTGTTTCAATGTTGTCCTTTTCACAATTATGTAATAGATCTTCCTTTAAGATATAAATTGCAAAATACAGTAAAATATGTAATTTTAGGTGACACCTTCATTTTACATATCACATAGCAATCTTTTTATATTAATGGAAACTATCAACTTTCATGGTCAACGTCTTAAAACGACAATCAAAATTAAGATAATCAAAACTAAGAAAAATTGTGTATAATTGGTCTTACCTACATCAATATCAATATTCACCATTTCACATTAAATGACAAATTAACAGTTATCACTTCAGACTTCAGCGGGTCTATTCAAGAGAGGGCGTATATATAACTGTTCCGCATTATTGACAAATAATTTAAAAAGGAAAAGTAGATTTTAAACGAAACACGATAGTCGTATCTCTCTCTACTTTCTACGCATGAAGCATAACCGTGTGAAACCATAATAAACTGAAAGCAGGAAATAGAACATGAATTGGTGATCGAATTCAAATTAGCTTCCTGGGAAACATCTCGAAAACTTCATCAAACGTTAACTGAAGTAACTAAATTCTAAATGAAACATGTTTAGTTTATTTTATTACAACACTCGTCCGTCGTCTTGTGAAGCACCAAGTTTGAATATTTAAACTAAAGAAATCACTGAAAATTCCAAAAGAAACCATAGAACTGTGATAAATCACAAGAACCGAGTAAAAACGGATTCTTGTTCAGTGATTATCATCTTGGTTTCGGTTATTTTAAATTCAACTTCAATACTGTATATGTAATACAAAAATGATATCAAAATTATACGAATCAAGTATTCGACCTACAAACATGGTGATAAATATTTATATGCACGATCCGAAACTACATTTAGAAATTAATAAGCTTAATCTAAATACATCAAGATTATTTCTGTCGTACACAATTGTAATCTTTCATTGCAGTTGATAATCTGTTTGTTAGGGGGACATCTTCGCCTGATTACGACGCTAAGCACACATCACTTCGTCCGTAACCTTTAATTTACTTGGTGCAATCAACTGAAGACTCCGATAGGTTTTTCAATGATTAGAAAAGAAGGGTTTGGTACGGATGTACCTTTACACGAAACCGATCGACATTTCCTTAGAAACGAATAAACATCAAATGAACACAGCTTTTGTGTTTGTGCTTCGTAGTTGAATAAGAAAATCCTGCGAAAATTGCATATGCAAAGAAAAATGGCTGTCAGATATTTCAATCGTTCTCTTCCTTGTTCGTGATTTATCTTCGGGTTTTATTTCATGAGTAACATGACAGGTGCAACATAAGTAGCGGGATCTGCTTATCATTCTGGACACATAAAAACGACTGCGTCTTTTACTTGAAAGTAGTTTGTCCAGCTCAGTGTTTCTGTATTTTTTTGGTGAATTAATGTTTGTAAACAGTGAATGAAAATTGTGTTTTTGTTTGTGTTCTGCAAAATAAAATACTCTGACTGGCATCGCAAGAAAAATGTATTTTTCAAAAATGTAATCCCTGTATGACACTCACAACCAGTTCTGCATGCAACCTCAACCGTTCGTCCAATTATCAGAAGTATGGAACTTTGTAGTTGAGATAAGGTGTTAACAGAGAGTAAACTGGCGAACAAATGACCATTTCAAAAATATTCTACTCTAAGACAAGAGAAATTCCTGGTTCCCTACTTGTGTTTGTTATAAGTTAAAACAATATTTATCTTAACAAGTCATCATGCAATGATACAATAAATATATAATACATACTTGTTATTAAAGGATTCAGAAACAAGCATAGTTGCTTTTATAAATCTCTCTATAATGTAGTTAATTTTCTTGCTAATAAAACTTATATAAAATGTGCTATATGTAAATTAAAAATATGATATAAAAAATTTGAAAAGCAGCGAAATATGATACATTGCGTGGAGAATGAAATCAATCAAGACTAAAGTTAGCGATCAAATTCAACAGAATATGTGAGAATTTAATAAACATCCAGTGTATTCTATAGTTTTGTAAGTGTACTTCGTTTGAATCATGCTATGGCAAATGTGAAAAAAAAATCCTCTACTGTACTTTTTCAGTTGGAATATAGCTTTTGATATTTGATTGTTTGTGTTTTGTACTGTTAAGATGCAGTATAATGTACCCCTTGTTTGAGATCTGTAATAGTGTGATTGCCGGTGATATAACTCCTAATTAGTATCTCCTAATTAGTATAATTCATCGTTTTATTCAGTGTTATTCATAATTGGGGAACATATGTTTACGTCATTCAATCTGCGCTGTTCTAAGCAAAGTTTAGGTTCTAGTGATACCCTGTGATTGTGTGCTTTTTGTCGAGCCTGCGACTTTTTTCGCAAAAGCGAGACATAGCGATCCTACATTCCGTCGTCGTCGGCGGCGTCCACAAATATTCACTCTGTGGTTAAAGTTTTTCAAATCTTAATAACTTTCTTAAACTATCCTGGATTTCTACTTGGACTGAAGCTTGTTTATGATCATAAGATAGTATCCAGAAGTACATTTTGTAAAAAAAAAATCATGTTTATCCGTATTTTACTCATAAATGGACTTAGTTTTTCTGCCAGTTAACATTACATTCACTCTGTGGTTAAAGTTTTTCAAATTTTAATAACTTTCTTAAGTATCCTGGATTTGTACCATACTTGGACAGAAGCTTGTTTATGATCATAAGATAGTATTCAAAAGTAAATTTTGTTAAAAACAAATCCTGTTTATCCGTATTTTACTTATAAATGGACTTAGTTTTTCTGCCAGTTAACATTACATTCACTCTGTGGTTAAAGTTTTCAAAATTTTAATAACTTTCTTAAACTATCCTGGATTTGTACCAAACTTGGACAGAAGCTTGTTTATGATCAAAAGCTAGTATCTAGAAGGAAATTTTGTAAAAAAAAATTTCCTGTTTTTCCGTATATTACTTATAAATGGACTTAGTTTTTCTTCCAGTTAACATTACATACAGTCTGCAGTTAAAGTTTTTAAAACATTTATTAGATTCATAAACCATCCTGGATTCTTACCAAACTTGAACAGAAGCTTCTTACATTCAAAAGATAGTATCTAGAGGAAAATTTTTAATAATTATTTACCCATTTTTGTTGAGCCTGCGACTAACAGCAAAAGTAGGCAATACACTGGGTTCCGCGGAACCCTTACGAATTTTTTACTATGTTGTTTTGCCAGACAAGAAAGATGTTTTGTGGGAAGACTTTTTGATTAGCTAATTTTCTGAAACTACAAAGCGAAATGTTTTCAAACTTTACAGAATTGTTTTGCTGTGGTTCGATTACTATAGTCAAGGATTTGCTATAGTAGAGCATACTTTTCTCCAAAGAATGTATTATCAATAAAAATGTTAAGCAAAATTTAAGTTGACAATAGCAGTCTGTCTTTACCATGCTGGAAGATGTCAGCTCTTTTGCTTAACACTGTAATGATGGATTAAATGTAAAACCGCAATAACAGCGCTAGTTATTTCCAAGTATTTTACGGGCATCTCCTAAACTTTTGGCAAATTTTGCAATTTTCTAAACATACAAAAATGTTTTAAAAAACCAACACCACAATATATCTTTTTTGAAACTTATGTATTATAAAGGCCCAAAAAGCCTATGGAGTCGTCTTATCTCGTATAAAAAGCTTTTCAGACTTTTTTCTATATCCCCCCCCTTCCCTAGAGCATGTCTGACAAATTAGATTTAAGAGACAAAAATGTAGAATTTCTCCAAAGATTTTATTCTATATCTAAAAGAAAAAATTACAGAATTTCATTTCTCTTAATTGTTCGTAATAAGTATCTTGATACCTTTAATTCATGTTATATGATGTTACATGATGGCAAGGTGTTTCTATCACGACATTCGTGACAAAGTAGATACATTTCATTTATGATGTCGGTAATATCTCTTTGGTAGCTAAAAATCTGTATTTCTAAAGAGTAAGCAAATTTTAGTGGTTGATGAATATCAATTTATAAAGCTTGACAATATTCAAAAAGGTATTCTTGAGCAATTAAAGAACAACTTATAACATAAAAATTAACATATAAGTATAGTATAGTGTCGCCTTTAAATAATGTCTTTGTCTGCACTGTTCAGTTCAACGTTTCAATAGTGGTAGGGATCGAGACTCAAAATACTATTTGTAAAGTGTATTGGAACCACCAATACAAATGCGACATAGCCTGTAGTACACTTGACAAAGGTCGGTGTCTTCCCGATTTCAATCGAATACCCTGTCTGTCATCAAAATTTTACTATTCCGTTGAAGCATATACACTTTTTAGAACAAATATTTGAGATTCATAAATATTGCATTTTTAATGTGTTTTGCTATATATTAAGATATCAATTTTATTTTTCGTTTATAAGCGGCTGTAGTTGTGTCATGATTTGCACAGTGCTTTCCATAAGTGCAAAAATTTATCAACAAACAAAAAAACGAACTCCAAGGTAAATTCAAAAAAGGGAACTCCGTAGACCTGACAAAACCAAACGCTCAAATATATCAACCAATGGAACGACTGGAAAACATCTGTCATAGTCCCGGAAAAGGATGACTTCGATTGGTAGTTCGTAGGTTCAAACCCCGTCAAGATAAAAGCAATCTGGTAGTTGCTGCTTTTCCGGTAGGCGAGCATCATTAAGTAGTGTAGGCAAAAAATTGGTCGGTTTGATTTGTTTCAGAGTATGGTTACATGTCTTTCAGAAACTGTTACCTTTTGAGCTATCAAGTTAGAAATTAGACGCATCGCAATGTCTAGCCCACATTGAAAACATGACAGGGCTGTAAACATATATATATTAGGCATGATGATTCGTCATTTCGTATGTCTGTCAAACAAAAAAATGATCCGATATGTGGACAGTTCTAGCTTAACTCTTATGTCTCAATTGCTGTTGAAAGTATGCAGTATCATCTTGAAAAGCTATCCAATTCACAATCAACTACAATTAAATTCAACTGTGATGAACGGTTGGCGCCAGTAAGAAAGACAAGTTACAACAAAATAGAAACGTCAATTTTGAATTGTTTTATATAAAAATTTAACTAAAAATATCAATAAAATTAAATAAATATCACATTCAATATAAACGACGAACATTTTCTTTATTAGATGGCAAGTTCATGTAGTAATTGCCATAAATACTCTGCGTTCTATCTCTGATAACAGCTGTCCACATTCTGTAAATTTCTTTGTCTTTAGCTGGCATCACAACATACTGACATTTTTTACCCTGTTCTTGATAACAATTAAAACCTTCTGGAAATCTCAACGTCAAGTTTGGTCGAAGGCCATCATGTATAACACCCTGAACTTTGGACGGAAGTAATCCGAATAAATAAAAATCGTCAACCCAGAAAAATGGCGACCCAATGGCTGCATGATATAGCATTGGCACTAAGTCTGTTGACAGAAACACCGTAAAGCCGCTGCAGTACGTGTGTGGATATCTTTTCATGTCTTTGAATTCATCATTTTGAACAAACCACTTGCTGTCATTTTCTCGTATAATTTTCATTGAACCTTTAGAAATTTTATTACATTTGATATATTTCTTCTTTTCCTTTAAATAAGACATCTCTTCAAATAATTTAAAGAAGTTTATAAAAGCGTCATCATCAATTTTTGCAACAAATTCTGCGTTTCTACAATGTTCAGTAATCCATTTATATCCCATTACACCTTTATTTGTCAAATTTCTGTAGGAATCTATGAAATATCCTTGCACTATATCTTTATAAATTTTACTTTCGTGTTCTAATTTTGTTTGTAAAATCGGATCAGCTACTAACCCCAATAGAAAAACTACTCGGACACTCTCGGGACTGTAGTGTGTTGAGTTCAGCCATGTTGCTCGCATTCGGATTCTCCTTTCGAAATGCTTTGGCGCAGTGTGTACCATGACTATACAAGAAACTTTATCGACACCAGAGCAAATATCCTTATTGTTTATTTTGTACGGTCTGGATACCACGATAGGATAGGTCGTTTTAGACAATATTTTTCTTTTATAAACTGGGTGATGATGTTCTCTTGGTTCTTTGTCGATTTTCCATAACATCAACCGACTATTTATATGCTGTTTGTTATGCTGTACGTCAATATTAGGATATCGCAAATCGTTTACAATTGTGAGAATAAAACATGCAAGAGCAACAACCGAAGTCAAAAGCAAAAATTTTAAATATAGGGTTTCTTTTGCCATTTCAGGAATATCATTGTTGGTTTGAGAATTCACACCTGGAAATATCAATACATGTATATGAATGATTTTTTTCAAGCTTTGAAAATAAATATTTTTGTTTGTCTTTATATGGATTTTAGTTTCATGGAAGGCTGTATTGATATTTTTTTTTGTCAAGTTGTCAAAATGCAAATATCGAGAGCTCGTTTATATTGCGTACATGTATATCTATTCGCTGAATACCATCGAGTGACCCAAAGATGGATTAGTGAGTTAAGTATTGGGTAGTAAATATATATATATATATACATATCTTTCATAGGGTTTATAGAAAATAATATAAAATAAAATAAAAAATATACTGCAATGGTAAAGCCGTTGTTATACTTATGAAAACGAGGAACAATTGTTCAAAAAGAAGTAAATATGCATACATATTTTTTAGATCTCAGACTCCCGTTCGTTTAATCATCAACAAAGCTTCGGTTTAACAGTTTCATTAACTTCTGTATGAAATTGTCTTAAATCTATACATTTTAAGTAATCTGAACAATCAAAATCTCCGTAGATAAAGCTAAAGCGCTAAACAATTGCATTTAATAATAAAGAAAATAATTCTAGTCATAGAAACCATTATTCTATCTACATGCTTGAGGAAGGAGTTGTTAACGTTAACATTTGAAGGAAAGGTTGTGCAAGATTGTGAAGTGCATACATACAATAGTGGACTCCTATATAAGTTACTTACTTGAGTTTTTGGTTTATCTTCACTTCATAATCGGAGTAAAATTCACAACTGAAATGTCCCCGTTGAACGCCTAAAAATTTACAATAAACAGTTGGCAATAAGTAACATTCAACCGACACGTGTTTAAGTATTTGCGGATTTCTTTCCAGTATCTTAAGCACGAAAAAAGAAAAAGAAAATAAACAAATAAATGAAATTATTATTTTTAAATTTTACCTTGGAAATCCACTTATTGCAATGAAGTCTAAATGTTCATTGATATCTCTTGAGTTTCCACTATTATTACCCCTAGAAACCGATTTATACATATATTTGATTTGCAATACAGAAGTTGTTAATAACATATTACACTCAGGATATTATAAACCTTCAAGGAGATATTGGTTAATATGTGTCCGGATTTAACCATTTATAATGTATTATGGACTATAGTAAGGTTAATATTATCAACACTGATCATTTGATAACCATTGATCAAACGGAGATCATTTAGGTTAGCCTGTAGCAATATATTTTCCTTTAAGAATTTTTACTGGTTTTAAGATATGGCCCAACGTTTCAATATATAATTAGAATATTTGTATTCATTATTTTTTTTTAAATATATTTCTGTACTTTAAATAGAGATTATCTGGACGTAATTACAAGACAAGACAAAATATTTCATTTCCTCAGACACAATCGTGTACACGACACCCCGTGAAATAAACTGGCATGGAGGACTTATTGTGCTAATTTCATAGGGTGCGATGCTATCATGGAACTCTTTTTTTTTACCAAAAACTTTGAGGACTGTGGAATGTCAGCCATAATCAGGGTGAAATTTTCTTAAATAAAGTTTACCCCGTCACTGTTCATGTGGATTACTACTTTTCTTTTCGTGTCTTTAAATATTTACAAATGTTCTTATATCAAATGTTTCATGAGTTAGATTTTGTTCCTTGTTGAAGTTACACTGAAGTTGACATGTACAATACACTTTTCTTATATAAAGCTTATCCCTTCACTTTTGATGCGGATTCCTACATTTCTTTTAGTGTATTTAAACATTTAGAAATGTTCTTATATCAAACGTTTCATGAGAACGATTTTGTTTATTGAAGATACATTATTATGTAAATTAAACACGGTTATAACTAACATGTTAAAAAACATCTGATCAGAAGTCAAATCACGAAATCAAGAATAGAAAAATATAAATATATAGACACACATACCTCTCTTAACTACACACCACACCTTCGTCAACATTTACACACCCTTTAATATGTCTGAATACAATTTAATTGTTTATAGTTCAATAGGTATTTTGAAAAGTAACCACCAGGTATATACGATAAGGTTAACACAGGTACTCAGCATGTATACCATTCAAGTTTTACTGATCATGTGATTGACAAGGATTTAAATAATTTAAAAAGTTCTTCTGACATTTTGTACTGTAAAACTAATTTTAAACCGTTGAATTGCAGTATATGATGCTCTCTGATTCACAAAAGACCTGTTTTTGAAAGTTCGAACCCACAGGCGCTAAGGGCATGGGCCGTCCCCCCTTTTTCTTTTTATGTTTGATAAAATTGAGAATGGAAATGGGGAATGTGTCAAAGAGACAACAACCCGACCAAAGAGCAGAAAAAAGCCCAAGGCCACCAATGGGTCTTCAACACAGCGAGAAAATCCCGCAACCAGAGGCGGGCTTCAGCTGGCCCCTAAACAAAAATGTGTACAAAAATGTGTGAACCAAGGCTCCGTGTAGAAGGCCGTACTTTGACCTATAATGGTTTACTTTTACAAATTGTGACTTGGATGGAGAGTTGTCTCATTGGCACTCATACCACATCTTCTTATAAATGGACGTCAAAATAAACTCCGAAACATATAAATGAACTAGTCTAAGAATTTAAAAAAACATACAAGACTAACAAAAACCAGAGGCTCCTGACTTGGGACAGACGCAAAAATGCGGCAGGGTTAAACATGTTTTGTGAGATCTAAACCCCCCTTTATACCTGTAGCCAATGTAGAACAAACACACAGCAATACGCACATTAAAACTCAGTTTGAGAGAAATCCGAGTCCGATGTCAAAATAGGTAACAGAAGAAACTAAGCAAAATGACAATGATACATAAATTAACAAATGACTAGTAGCAGTTACCGACACGCCAAATCCAGACCTCAATTAAACTGATTGAAATATTATGTCTTCATCATATGGAAATCAAACACAATCCCTCCCGTTAGGGGTTTACACTACCAAGAATTTACCAACGTTTTTTTGGTACATTTCTACCCTCGTACATATCAGTACTGTTCGGCAAGACTAAAAACTTGTAATGTTATACTTTCTATTAATTCAGTACTGTTTATTATTATACAAAAACTGTACAATTACTAATTCTATAAATTCAGTACTGATTTTTTCAGTACTGTTTCAATACTGATTTCGTCAGTACTGTTTCAGTACTGAATTTGTCAGTACTGTTTCAGTACTGTTTCAGTACTGATTTCTTCAGTACTGTTTCATTATGATACTGATTAAGTCAGTACTGTATCTGTACGGAATATTTCATTACTGTTTTAAGTATATTCTTACTTTTTTTCAGTGCATGGATTAATGTGTTCATTTAAAAAAAGATGTCATTTCTTTAAGTACGTAGCTGTGCACTTTAGTTTATTTATCTTACAATTGGTTACAATGTTTACATTTGAATGCATACAGTGATGCCAATTTGAAAATAAAAAGAACTGAAAAACTAATCAACTAGGTAATTATGTATTAATAGCAAAATTAAGGTATCGGTGGTCTTAGGTTGTTTTGTACATTTGGGTTGGGTTAAATGTTCTCTTTGACACTTACCCCGTTTCCATCCTTTTCTATACTGTGACATGTTGATGATTTCGTTATGTTTTTTTATTTCTCTGATTTTTTGTTCTGATTTTGTTTAACTTTAGGTCCAGCTCTTCAACAGTTATTTTAGCTGTTTTTTTTTCAATATTTTGGCATTGTCAAATTTGCATCTCATTCTGGTGCGGTCAATTGATATGGTTTATGTTTTTAGTAAGTTCTTATTAATATAGGTTTTATATTTGACAATATCATATTACATGTATTTGTGTCTTGCTTGGGTCAAATCAAAACATATTTAACAAGACTTGAACATTGGAACTGGGTATATTACTTTTGAGAAGATGGATTGGTGGATGTTTTGTCATCCAGTGGCAAGTTAAGTGCATAATCAGAACGAGGACTTGATACTCAGATATAAATGATGACACTATTTTTTACTAGACCAATATTACACACTGAGCTGAATTTTTACATGCTAGTTCACCACAAGGAGAGAATCTGCTAGAAGACATGTCATCCTAACTGGACAGGTACCTTAAGACTAAACAGTCTATGTTTTTTCTCCTTAAAAAAGTTTACGCTGCATGTGTGCTGAGGGAATAATTATAATACAACCACTTTTCCAGTCATAATTCTCATAAATACATTTCCGTTTATTTGCCCACTGTAAGGGAGCTACCATTTGATTTTTAGGGGGGTGGGGGGGGGGGGGCTAGGATGAAAAATTTTGTCCTGCATTTTTTTTTATAGTTGTAATCTGTCCTGCCTTTTTATTTTTCACTGTGTTCGGTCCTGCTTTTTTTTTTTAAGTTTATCCTGACTTTTTTTTACCTAACAACTCCTGTCCAGCCTATTTTTTTCAAATTTCATCCTAGCCAGTAAGAATTAATAGGTATCCTGTTAACAGGAAGTTGAATGGGTGAATTTTAAACTGCATTACTCAGTAAATCATGTTCACATGAGGACTGATGACTTTCAGGAATCTCTTGATTTGTAATTCCTCAGAAAACTGTGATGGATTTGCATATTACAGACATACAGAGGTTAAAAAAGTATCAAAATCTAAAGACCGATTTCCAACAAAATGATTTTAAAATGTCTGAAGGATGTCATTTGGTACATAAATTTATAACCTTTTTGATTTTTTAGCATAAATTCCCACAAAAAGACCTTCTCCTTTCATGAAAAATGACTTAATCAAATATACCTCACATTACAAATTACATAAACTATTACAAGTTATATGGATTTGAGTTACTTTTTGAAAATATTTCAATACTAGTACTAAAAAACATGATTATTAATTTTACATTATTCCTGACAATTGTGGTCAGGTGGCTATGTATGTATGTATGTACGTAGATCCCTCCGTTTACGGAGCACCCATCGAGAGCTGCAACTGTACAGTGGAATCCGTGTAGTGACACTCCCTATCGGGATTAATGGCGATGTGTCACTAATGTACATTTGTTGACCATTAAAATACATGCTTTGCTCATCAACATTGATTTTTTTGTTAACTGAATAAAACAAGATGAAGATCTCAAATGTTTAACTTTCTCTTTTTATCTACTGTATTCACTTCCATTGCAAGTACAACAAACAGTAATCTTAAGAATGAACAGCATGATATAGTTACATGTAAAATTTCTCTCTCAATTTAATGTTTTTAATCACTGTTTTATAATTCTGCTTCAGTGTTATTTTGCACTGCTCTTCCACTGTATGTGATATCACATATCTTCGCCAACTTGTTTCTGAAAAATAAAAGGTTGATTATAACACTGTCAGATTTCAATGTTATCATGTTTGTTAAAGTCCAATAATAAGGTCAACTATAGGTCAACCATAACATAATATGTATGGTGTACATGCATTGCTAAAGGTGGTATTACGTAAATAAAGGTTCATATTATCATGGAGAAAAATGAAAAAAGAATGGAATAATGTATGGGTTACCTACTTGAAAACTGATCTAATACGATTGGGAGAAAAATTTTAGCGCCCCAAGTCTGGGTTGGCAAATTTCCATGTTTTCAATATAGGCTGCACTCTGACATTCTTAAATGGTTTTGTTATAAATTATGCCGTTAACTTTTCTAAATTGAATTGTTTCATATTTTTCATGTCTTCGTCTTTTGTAGCCGACTATACGGTATGGGTTTTCTCATTGTTGAAGGCTGCACAGTTGCCTATGATTGTTAATATCCACTTCATCTG